GGGGAATTAATATGGTCTGTCAGCATGCCAAATTAAAAGATTCATTGATTTGTCATAAGCAAGTCTCTTCATGTTTTAAATAATATCAAAATTTTAAATTTTTTTTTTGGTTAATCTTATTTATATTTTTTTAAAATTTATTTAGTTTAAAAAAAGTATTGTATCCTTAAAGCATATCGGAACAATCCAAAAACCTTAAGTGGAGGTAATCATCATCGTACGACTAAAATAAAAATAAAGATTAGAATGTATTTATGAATTCAAGTAGTAAACTTACTTTGTCAGAAGTAAATGGAATCCACAACCCATGCAATTTTAAGGGACGATAAATTGTGGGGTCTCTTAGAACTTGAATACTATTCCTGATAGCTTTTGTGTATTTTTTTGTAAACAAATCAAAGTAGGGGAGAGTGGGGGAATTTCGTCAGCATTTTTTCAAAGCTATTTTTTGTCCATCTTGAGACACGTTATCATATTTCTATATTTATTGTTGAATGCGGTTAGCACCAAGCTTTAAAATGTGACATTCCCCTATTTTTTTAATTAGCTTGGTGATTTATAAAAAAATAAAATGTAAAACCAATATCCTGGGGCAATCTCACCACACAGGGGGGTAAAATCACCACACCACCGGGGAAATTTCGTCACCTGAAAAATGTAGGGAGTTTAACGCCTGAAAATATGCTACACTGATCAAGCGTACCATTTTTGTTGACGTCCTATATTTGTTGCTGCTGCTGGTAGTCTGTTCGTTAGCCAGCTCGTCAAATATAAAAATATGTATTTCAAATAGGTGCGAAAATACCCTTAGCGTAGGGTGGCGAAATTTCCCCAGACCGTACTTTTTTAGAAATAATTATTTTTCTTGCGAAATTAGGCGCGAAGTTAAAAATCACTGACGCAGAAATGCACATTATAGCACTGTTTATTATATAAAAAATCGTGTATCTTATTCCTTTTGAATTGTGGCATACAGAAAAAATTTCGTCGAGCACTAAATGTAGCTTTTGAACTGTTAAAACACATTTAATATTATAGCTTAATTATCTTGGCCTTCTGTGCAAAACAAATGCATTGGTTGTGTCTGGCCGTCTTGAAGGACTAAAACAAAAAAATTATATATTTTTACGACTTATGGATTCCGAGATATTGCAGGTGACGAAATTGCCCCTGTGACAAAATTCCCCCACTCTCCCCTATCTATAAAGGGAAACCGATCTCAGCTGTTGGCAAGATTCAAGAAAGAGAGGAAAAAAGTTGAATTCATCGGTATATGCATAGTGGTGGGATGTGATTTCAAGATCTTCCAGATTTTTTAATGCGATCAACATTGGAATAAATTTCTTATCGGCGATTCCCAGTCGTAATCTGGTCAGCCCACTTATTTTCGTGACCTCCACAACATCTAAAAATTCCAGTTCGGTGTCATCCAAAAACAAACTTTGAAGACTGTTTAAAACATTGAGTTGCATGAGAAGCTCCCACAGTGAATTTTCCTGATAATTGTGTATCCGTAATACTGTAAGGTATTTCAGGGATGTTATGTATTTAACATCTTTCAAATGATAAATACAAAACCCAAGGGCCTCCAATTGTTGGAATTGTGATACCAATTGCAAGTTTGGAGTTCGAAGTGAGAGTAGGCGCATTTGAAGAGGGTTAACATTTAAAGCTCGTAACATCCTAACGACAACTTGGTCTTCATAATTCAAGTAAATACTCAGTTCTTTGAGCATTGGTAGAGTAGCTATAAGTTCCAAATTGGCTGGGGTGTCAGAGGAAGAGCACGCAGAAGAGGATACATAATAAAAATGTTTTTTCCATTTCTTTTCAGGGGGTATCCCTATTTGCAAAATCTCCAAGGACTTTATCCCAGCGAGTTCGACCATCTCTTCGGAAGTAAGGTCGCTCTGAATGGTAAGGTTTCTTAGTGGTTGACCTTTTTTTGAGGCAAGTGATTTGAAAAGCGTTCCTAAAGATCCCTTCGTATGTTCGGTAACAGTTAGTGATTCCAAAAAATGTATGTTGGCCAGACGGTCAATATTTCTTGACCAGGAGAAGCCGCATTTAATGACCTTTAAGCTATGTTGTTCAGCCAGTTCTGCGACTCCTTCGTGGCCAATATCGTTAATTTCCAATTCCCGTAGATTCGGTATTTGCTTTATAAAATCGATAAAAGAAAGGTTTGCGATGTTACCACAAATCAAATGAGTTTTCAAGTTCTTTAAGTTAACAAGAGGTTTGAACATTTCGACTAGATTTTCTAATTTACTGCCTATTTTTATTATAAGAGTCACAGAACTATTTTTATGGATTATAGAAATTTCCTTACAATTTGTTTCAATTTTATCAACTCGGTTTGTTATGTCCGCAATCCCACTGAGTTGCTTAAGTTTCATTGCGATCATAGCGCTCAAGTGTTCATCGTCACATTTAATGGTCGTTAAAGATCGAATGGACGCCAGGAGATTTGCATGTTCTAGATTAAACGCAGAACACTTTTGGATATCTATCTTCTTAAGACTCTTTGATTGGTGACTTGACAAACCCTGAAATATGGTTTGCAATATGCTGCTATTAAATTTCCCAGCTAATTTGAATTCAACAACAATTAAAAGGTGGATAGTGCGTGTTATGAAGTTAACATATTTCCAAAGCTCTTCTTCATCTTCCTTGACATTACTTGCACAATTTTCAAGAATATCTTCACTTTCATATAATAGCTCCTCGAAAGAATATACAAATTCCAAATACCCATATTCCTCCTCATACCTGATTTGTAAGGGCGGAGAGTTCGTTTTGGTCAAATGTACTTCAGACGTCTTTAACAAGTCCCTTAACTCATCCATTACAATTAATTGGCCCGGTTTAACATATATTTCGACTTGCTTGGGATTCTTGAGATGGGCCAAATTAGCAAGATCACTGAAACCGCTCCTAACGATTTGTAATGAGTGGATTTCCGTCATCGCCTTCGTCTCTTCATTACTGAGCGAAGTTTCTTGAATAACCAATTCATTGAGACTCATACTTTTGAGACCTTGAAGCAACTTTACCAGAGTTCCCTCTTGATGGTATCCTCTAAGGTACAGCCTCTCAAGTTTGGGCAATTTCGCCAACGCAGCATACTCTGTGGCATCTATGTCGGTCTTCATTGTTAGCCATAAAGTTTTCAGTTGATTGCAGTATGGCACAATACCGGTGAACCTTCCATGTAATTCGGTACTGGTGAATTCGAGAGTCAATAAATGTGGATTTGATCGGCACAACTGCACTAAATCCTCTTCATCCATTCGAATATTGAGGTAAAGTTCTCTCAATTGGTTGAATTCCGGAACATTTTGGAGGCTATATCCTGAAAACTCAAAGACTGCAGACGACAATGAATTATAAAGACGATGTAAAAAACTCACCATGAACATCAATGTTAAGGTTTGTAAAACGGTTTTTGTACCTAATGGCATCCATCAGGGCCTGAAACCTATCCAAGTGCTCGGGATAGTAATGTTTTGGTTGGTATTTTAATTCCAAATGACTCATTTCATTATTTTCTTTAATCGCATTAACATACAATTTCCAATATATTTCCTGGTCCCTTTTGGACATATTTTGCAATAAGTCGTACATCTTTCCAAAATCGATATGAATCCAATCAGTATATTTTAAAAATGCCAACTCGATATGAAGTTCTTTGTAAAAATCAGGGTTCCATTCCTCGAAAGCTCCGACAAATCTCTCGCTGCTAATTACGAAATTAATTAGATCCCAATAGTTCACACGGACACGTCTGTTCTGTAATTCATTTTCCACATCGCAATTATGTTTAATCTGTCGAAATATCTCGTATAAACAATCGTCGTTCAGTTTAAATATTGAAGTTGTAGTCATTTTCACAGTTATCCAGCGTTAATTTCCACGACCGATTCAATCAGAATTTATTGCATTACTGAGTGCAACTCATATGATGAGCACTTTTGTAACTTTAAGCTTATCTTATAAATTATTCAAAAATACACCACAGAATCTTTTAAACGGTTTGAATAGGTATGATCGGGGAGAATAACAACTTCTGGGTTATTTGTGATCGATTAAATATGGATACATTTCAATTTGTAAATATATTTTATTATTTGTTTTTTATCATTTGTATACCCTTGCAGAGAGTATTATACTTTTGGTCAGAAGTTTGTAACGCAGTGAAGGAGACGTTTCCGACCCCATAAAGTAAATAAATTCTTGATTTTAAAATTTTATTTTTTTTATTATGAAATATTTTGTTTATTAATTCATGTTGCTATTGTAGTCAAATTTTAATTCGTGAAATCTGCAAGGGTTTTAAACTTTGGCTTTCCGAAGTTAGCTTCTAGCTTAGCTTATATATATTTATTTACAATGAGTCCGAAAATCTCAATGTTAAAAGCCGAAATATGATGACACTTTCCTAATAGTTCTGTGGCATTTTTATTATGGCTGCAAGGGTATCAAAACATCGTAATGCGTCTCCTTACTTGGGCTCATCAATATTTTTGAACGATTTACAGATAAACGGCAATCACTGGCTACAGAGCATTATTAGTGCAATGGTTAACATTTTCCTTTGGTTAAAGGTATCTTTCTAATTTTGTATACACCCGTCATTAAAACCAAACGGAAAAACACCTGTCATTTAACGCACAAAATTTGATTTCAAGCTTTATCACGCTGTTTTTTGAAACGTGACTCTTGATCTTAACTGACCAACCAATATGAGCTTGAACTCGCATCCCAGTACAGGTGTACTTGTATTATGAACCACAACTTTTTAATGGTGTTTTAGGAAGACTCTGATTACGTCAAAAAAACAGATGCTACCACGATGAGAGTAATTACACCGGCCGGCAGACCTATTTTCCATGAATTCTAGGTTAATGCCAATGTCGCTTCTAGAACTGGTTTTCTCAGTCGGATTGTTCTATAAAAGAGCTATATTAATCAGAACTTGCTCCATTTATAAATTTAAGCTGTCGCATACACAATGAATCACTCAAGTCTGGAGATTATCTGCTGTCTGCTCATTTTAATAGCCTTAAGAACGGAAGCAGTTTCGGTTTGGAAATTACCAACCTCGGAGCAAGTGTACGAGGATCTGGAGAATTGTCGCCTAGAAACCCAGGAAGAAAATGCAGACACCTTGCGATGTTTGGTTAAAAAACTGGGACTTTGGACCGATGAGAGTGGCTACAATGGCAAGCGGATAGCAAAGATCTTCGCCGGGCACAACCAAATGGAGGAACTGATGCTGGTGGTGGATTACTGCAACCGGAAGGAGCGGAATGTAGCGCATTTGGATGACTGGGCCTTTGAGGCCTACAGGTGCGCCACTTCCGGTCAGTTTGGTCATTGGATAAAGGATTTCATGAGCCAAAAGGAAGTTAAGTAATGAAATAAAAGTCTGTTCTAAAACAAAACTCCAGAGTCAATTTTGTTATATGTTGATAACTATCGAGTGAAACCTTCGGAATCACAGAATCTACTGTTTTTAATTACTACCTACTACTTGATTGTGCAACGATTTCTGGAACACCTAGACATTTATTTTTAAGAGATTGTGATATGATATGATATTTCATAAATATGATACTTCAAAAATATGATATTTCTTAAATGTGATATTTCATAAATATGATAATTCAAAAAATAATATTTCGATATCGATTGAGCATTTTAAATATTTAAATACGGAATATTTGGTCCATTTGTCGCTTTGTTTTGGACAAAATACTGATATTTTTTTTATCAAAATTAGGATCACTTAAAACAAGCAAGACGGCCAACAACTTTGCTACCGCCATCTGTTGATAAGTAGAGGCGAGCGTAAAAGTCAAAAAAACTATCTATCAAGAGCTGACTGGTGTAAAACTCAGAGCATAGCTTGCGCTGCCAAACAACAGATGGCGCTAGTAGAAAAACAAAGGCATGCGCGGAGCCACAGAAAGGGATTTTGGGTGATAAATTCAACCACTTGGGTGAAAAGGGCAAGGAAATGTGGTATTCAATAAGTTTCAGATGAAGAACTAAATTCTGGTTGCCCCCACTGCAGAGAAAAAAAAATGTCATGGGGTATATTATTTATATTATTATTTATGTCAAATTTATGATTCAATCATATCAAAGTGATATTTTATCATATCATATAAAATACCGAATGTTGAATTTTTTAACAAATTATCTTAAATAAGATAAAGAAAATTTTTATTCCAAAAAGAATATGAATAAATGGATAACAACTGATCTGATCTTTTGTGAATTTTTTTTCTGTGTGTATATAGGAAAATCATTTGAAATTAATTTACTTTTGGAATTTGCTCAAAGTCACGTCATATTCTTGTTCTTGTGATAAGCCGTGATTCAGACTTGTTGACAACCGAGCATCTGGGATGTGGGATCTGGAATCTGGCACCTGCTTCTATCGTTGCCCGGCGACCTTTGGCCTCTGATAAGGGTAATCGTTGGGCCAGTCAATCACCCGCGAATTGAGACAATAGAAGGTTGAATCGATTTCGATTGCCTGGAGACCCAGACTTCGGCTATAAATGCCTTCGCTGATCTGAGAAAAAGACAGAGTAAAAAGACATCGCCATGAAGGTACTCATCGTTCTCCTTTTGGGTCTGACCTTGGCCCTCGCCGGCCACGATCACCATCACCACGAGTCCTATGTGGTGAAGAGCCACGACGATCTGGTCACCTATCGCTCCTACTGCGCCGAGAAGGTTCACGCCGGCGAGGAGCTGGTGGAGAAGTACAAGAAGTGGCAGTATCCCGATGACGCTGTGACCCACTGCTACCTGGAGTGCATCTTCGAGAAGTTCGGCTTCTACGACGCGGAGCACGGCTTCGATGTCCACAAGATCCATGTTCAGCTGGCCGGTGGCAATGCCGAGGTGAATCACTCGGATGAGACGCACCAGAAGATCGCCCACTGCGCCGAAAGCCACAAGGAGGGCGACTCCTGCTCAAAGGCCTACCACGCCGGCATGTGCTTCATGAACGCCAATCTACAGCTGGTGCAGCACAGTGTCCACGCCTAGGTGGCCCAACCATTCCTGGGCATCTCCAGACCCATCTGATCGCATGTCTGCAGTTCAAGACGCAAATAAAAATTATTAAAAATCGAATATTGTAGATATTTCTTGGGTTAATTGGTTATTAAATGGGAAGATCTGATATTAAGGTTGGGAGAATATTTTTTTAAAAAATTATTTCAGACAATAAAACTTAAAAATCTTTACTTATAATTAAAATTTTAGTTTTAAATTAAATATTTATCAAATATTTTTCCTTACTTCCTATCATAATTTCTTTGGAAAAACATATATCTAAAAAAAAAGAGTTCGTAGTCTCATTATGCCAATCAAAACAGAAAAAGGGAAAGCGAAAGTTCGGCCGAAAGTCAAGAGGAAAACGGGGCAGGAGGTTTCGCCCACCACGATGGTCTATCAAACAGCCCCAGCAGATCTTAAAGTTGGTTGGATTGACCCCGCTAACACTAAGAAAGCTCAAACCCCAACGAGTGTGGGTGGAGACCGGATCGGATCACTCTTATCACCTCGGACAGTGAACGTGACTGCGGCAAATAAAAACAAACTATCATGCTGGAGATGAAGGAGTACACATTCGGAAAAAAAGGTATAGCATTCAAAAAGTGGTATATAGTTTGAGAAAAATATTTTAAAACAAGAGAGAACGCTATAGTCGGGTGCCCCGACTATCAGATACCCGTTACTCAGCTAAAGGGAGTGCGAAAGAGATGGAGAAAAACTTTGATCCGCCGTAACTTTTTAACGAATGGTCCGATTTAAAAAATTTCTTCTACATTTCGATAGGTATTGATAAACACAATAAAACTGCATTTTTACTTTTCCAAAATATTGAAATTTTTAAAATCGTATATAAGCGATTGTGGGCGTTAGAGGGGGCGTGGCACCCTTTTTGAAACAAACTTGCGCTGCGTAGGAACTCCTAGAATCTGCATGCAAAATGTCAATCTTCTAGCTTTTATAGTTTCCGAGATCTCAGCGTTCATACAGACAGACAGACAGACAGACAGACAGACAGACAGACAGACAGACAGACGGACAGACAGACGGACAGACGGACATGGCTAGATCGACTCGGCTAGTGATCCCGATCAAGAATATATATAGTTTATAGGGTCGGAAACGCTTCCTTCTACCTGTTACATACTTTTGCACGAATCTAATATACCCTTTTACTCTACGAGTAACGGGTATAAAAACACCTACACGACCTATTGAAATTCCGAAATATTTTTTAACAAATATATAGATTTTCTATTAGAACTGAAATTAAAAATTCTTCAGGTATTAGAATTTTTTAATTTTCAATTTTTTAGAAGGCAATTGGTTTTATTTTAAGCTTTAAGCGCTTTCTCCCTCTATTTCAAATCTCCAAGAGAGAGTAATCGGTACTTCACCAGAAATTTACCATATCGATTTAACCGCGATTTTTTTTTCTGTGTAGTATCTAAGCATTTTAAAACAATCTGCTTAACAACAAGAAGTTGATGGCTTGACGGGTAGTTAAGAGCGACTAAAACCCCCGGCCATGAAGCAAAATGAACAGCCGTTCTGAGCTTGGCGTCGCAACGAAAGTGAAACCCGGTAAGCCCATTTGTTATGGCCGAGAATAAAGACTTGTTTTGACCAGCGAAGCTGACAATTGCATTTCCAGAGTGTCGAGAGCTGAACAAATTCCTAGCCCAGTTAGCTTTTTCACTACGCCTCTATTCTACACTTTCGCCCGGTTTATTGCATTCATTTAATGCCGCCGAGCAATTAAATCGAAGCTAATGAAAATGCCTGCTCCAATGCGAAAGCATTTGTTTGGATTGTGTTTCCATTTCATCTCATTCGAAGTGGGAATACCCTGGGAAAGTTTAACTCTACAAGAAAATGTATCTCTTGAGGTACAACTATTTTTATAGCTAAATAAAAAACATCTCTCAAAAAAACATGATTAGATAGATTTATAACAGTTCATATGTATGCCTTATAAATCCTCTAACATAAATGGCAACCAATTTAATAGATCGTTTAGCCACAGAATTTTAAATGTAATAACAATTTAGAATTTGTTTCCTAATAATTCTGGATAATTGCTAAATTAAATGAGTATCGTAATAGATATTAGATTTTATTATTCTTAAGAAAAGTCATAGGAAACTAGGCCAACTGCAATAAGTTCCTGTCACAAAAACCCCAAAGCCACCACAGATGTATATTTTTATTAATATTATTATTTTTTACTTTGTATTATTGTCAGCACTATGGCCACAGTAAGCTCTATAACTACAGCTCCACGACCACCCGAAGGTATAAAAGGTTGCCCATGGCCCAGCATTCGCTTCAAGTCCCCAGAAATCCAACAGAAAGCCAAGAAACGCGCGTGCGCAGCCGCAAAAAGAGTCAGTCAATCGGCGGCAGTCTCCGCGTTAAGTCAACTCAAATCGTGATCTGTGTTCTTCGCAGTGCACTGCATTTCCATACACAATATCATTTGCAGCAACTTGTTTTCAAAGTCATTACGTGTCGGCCAGTCGCTAAACAAATTGTGCATTTATAAAGACAACAGTGCGAATCAGACAATTTATGCCATATTTTCGTGGGTTTTCTGGAGCTTCCTGACACCAAGGGCCGTCAACTGCATACGAAATCCAAGGAAAACCAAAAAATATACATGGTCAATATGCAAATGGAAAAGGTAAGCGGCGTCTGTGATAACTTAATTCATTGATTAATCATCGAATTAAATATATACCGAAAGAGACATGGAACTTTCACTTTCGTTTGCCAGACTCGCAATTAGATTCAGCTTAAGATTCAGTTTAAGACTCAGGTTTAAGGTTAGGCCACATCTATTGCCTTTGAACTGGTCTTAGCCATGAATCCGACTCGAATGGCGGCTGAGTCAGCCTCCAACGAGCCAAACTGGCAGTGCAGGCCACTGAAACCCCAGGCGAATGGGATGAAGAATGGGTCGGGTACAGAACTCGTGGCTCTAAGAATATAACGAAAATATTGTAACATTTATAAGAGAAGGTTTAGTTTGTAATCAACATTGGAAGCTATTTTTTAACGTTTACAGCAAAAAACTTAAAAGCAAAATATTAATTTAAGCCACATACAAATATATTAGTGGTACTTGTAGTTTATTTTTTTGCATTGACAAAATTAAAATTACAACTATCATAAAAATGTCAATAACCATTTAACAATCATTTAAATATCCTATCACATAATTATTTTAAAACATGATAAATAATGGCTCACTATTGAAACGGGTAAAAATTTAAATTTTAAATTTGTTGTGACTTGTTATCTGTGTATTTACTTAGTATTTCTAATCAAACTGAACTACAGCAATTAAAATATAAGTAACAACAATTAAGTAATTACAAATAGTTGCTAATAACGAGGGTTCAGCATTAGGGATTTCAAATGTATTATTCTGTGAGTTAAATTAGAAATGAGACATATGAAAATTAATTGTATTTTTTAAGAACTTATGGAGGAATATTGCAAGTTAACACTACACACCTTAACATGTTTACTTACTTTTATTCGCCATCTATTAGTTGAAATACCTAGTGTCTTGGCCATCACTGCAGGTCAATCCACTTTTCAAGCCAAATTCCATTGACACCTCGAAGTGACCACCCACCCCGATTTGTCGGAAAGCCAGCAAGCCTGAATCTGAGCCTATGGAAACACCCATGGCCAAGAGTGCGAGTGATCCATTGAACCATTTTGAACTATCACTTTTAACGCGGCCATTACAATGGCACTCGAGGTGGCCCAATTTCGTGGCTTGGAGTGCACTTGATCAACGATTATTGTCTGCTGACTCGACTCAATCCACTCCTCTCTGCAATTCGAAGCGATTAATTTCACTGTTGCCAGATGCCAGATATCAGATACCAGATGCCGATGAAATCGAAAACGAATTCAAAGCTAGAAGTGAAAAGGAAAAGCGTCGAAAATTGCTCCCTCGAAAGCAAGATCATGGCGATCGAGACCAGAGTGGGTGGAGGAAAGTCAAAGTGAAATGGTTGGAAAGCAAGGCAAATTGCCAGTCAGTCAGTCAGTAAGTCAGTCAAACAACAATAAGCGATCCAAGGAGGGCGTCTTGAATGTCTGGGTAATCCGAGAGGGGCAATTAGAGTGCAGAGCCCCCAGGGGGATTGGGGATTGGGGGATCCAGATAGGAAACGCGGTCACAGTTCCGCAGATCGCTCCAGTGCATTTCCATGCTCCAGTACCAACTCGTCTAACCGGACCTAGACTCCATCTCTGCGAGGAAAAGGCCTTTCAGCCCATGCACTGGGCGAACAATAAGTTCTGAAATCAGTAAAGAACAAATTTGTTTTAAAAATCAGAGAAATATGTAACATGATTTATCAGTCTTTATATACAATCTTCTTATTAAATATTAAAAGATTTTTGATTAGTTGAAAACTTGATATGAAACGATGATCGAGTTTACGTTAGGTGGTATCAATTTGATATGCTCGAAATGTAAGCAACAGGCCAGTTCGAATTTCGAATATGTCTTTCTCCCTCCCACTCATGTGACTTTAAGCGCTACTCCCTCTATTTCGAATCTCCGAGGAAGAAATCGGTATTGCACGATAAAAAAGAGATGCCAAAAATTTACCATGCGCATATCGATTTAACCTTGACGTGTTTTTTTTTGTGTGTAGTATTTAGTTTTCTAACTTAAGATTTATTAAGTTACTTCATTTGAGAGTAAATCACTATCTATTTAAATTAGAAGTCAGAACGAAATTCGATTTAAAATTTACAGAAAAACCAAGAACTTAGTTCTTAATGGATTTTTTTTCGCCTAGTGTAAGCTAGTGCCCACCGTCCGGTTCGATCGGCTTCTCCGTAATCCAATTAAAGGAACAATCTACATTTCAATTCAAAACTAATGAAGTGTAGAGAATTCGCAACAAAGGCTGACATGTGTTGATTGTTTCGGCGACTGCAGTGCTGGTATTTGGTATTTGAAAGTCTCGGTTTCTTCTGGCGGGGAGCCATTCGATCCATTACTAACAAGCTTCCCTGTAGAGTGGCTCCAGCAGCAGCTCCCCAACTTCCGTCAAACACAAGCACACAATATTGTGCGTAGTCCAAACAATTCATTGATTGATTGTCGATATGGCGATCAATTAGACAGATTATGGTTTTTCATTCAGAAGTGACAAAAAAAAAAAACAACCAGGGACAGCTGTCAATGGAAAATAGATATGTACTTGTGAACTTGTTTAACTCCCCGATTATTATGATTTTGATACCCGGCAGCACACACTTTTGATTCTCGTTGTACTGGGACTTATCTTGTGGACGGGCTCCTCGCAGGCTGCCCGTCGCCTGAGGAAGAAGCCGAAGGTCTACAACGCCCTCATCACCACCGACGACAATCTGACCTCCAGCCGGGCCTATCCGGTCATCCAGCCCACCATCCACGAGCCGGGTTACGCCCCCTTCGGACCCTACAATCCCTATGGCTTCTACAGTCCTCCAACTGTGCGGTTCGGCCAGCCGATTGTCCCTGGACTGACGCCAAATGAGAGGGTGAGTCTACTTATGTAGTGTTTATAATTCTAAATAATAAAAACCTAAAAAAAATATAATTAGAATATAAGTTAGACTGAATAGATTTAAAAAATAAAACGATTGATCAGTTTAGCATTTGAGATTGAGAAATATCTTTTATCAAGTTATCCATATCATTTAGATATGAATAAAAATTATTTTGATCTTATTTTACATTATTGTTAAAAAAATACTACATTTGGTATTTTACATGATAAGATGAAGTATCACGTTGATATGATTGAATCATAAATTTGACATTAATCATATCGGCTTTTTAATGATATGAAATAAGGTGGAATTGATCCTATTTCATATCGAACAAATTCGATTGTATATAAATTTACATTTTAAATTCTTCTCCAAATGACTTGAGTTTATTTATTTGTTATTTTTAGCTCCCCTACCCCCTGCCATCTGCTGCCCAGTTTCCAGGTGGCTATGCTCCATATGAGCCCCAACAGGCGGTGGAATCACCCGGATCCGTGGAGCCACAGGAGGTGCCCAAGGAGCAGATGCCCACTCAACCACTCAACCAGCAGGGACTGCCGCCCGTACTCATCCCCCTGCCCTCGCAGTTCAGGGGGGGACAGCCCATGCACCTGCCTCCCTATCCGTATAGCCAATATCCAGTGATCTACGATCAGGCGGCGGGCTACATAAGGCAGAACTATCTGCCGCCCTATGATTACTACCCCAGTCAGGGTTATCCCATTCGTGAGGCTGCTCCAGCTACTACTGCTCCGAGGATAGAGGAGGATTCTCAGCCTCAGGCCCCACCGAATCCCCCACAGAATGCAGCCGAAATACAGCCTCTGCCACTGGACAATCTGGAACCGGCGCAGCCCAGCTTCGAGGACATTCGCAACGGATCGGAGAGCAAAAACAGTGCGGTTCCGGATGTTCCACCTCCGCCGATACCCTCGGGACCCAAACGTATAACCGGATAATTCCGGTTGCCCAGACGCAGCACACACGTATTTATTACCATTTCGCTTAGGCATATAATATCGATTCGATTGTACAATGTCGCTTAACCCGTAAGCTAAAGTAAGAGTTCATTCAGAGATAACGAATAAATAATACAAAATCAGCCCAGCCAATGCGGTTGATGAACTTGGTGGAGTTCCCTTGGGGAATCGGGAATTCTTTTATCTCAGCTTGGAGGAGACTATAAAGCCAGTGAAGTTGGTGTAGGAATTTACAGTTTATATTAAAAAGGCAACACAGAATGAAGCTGACTTTGCTGCTGATCGTTTGCTTTTGCCTTTTTGGACTGGGTTAGTACATTTTAAGGATTTTAAGAATTATTTCTAAATTTCTTATGAATAACATCTACTGTTTTTTAGCCCTAGGCAATCCAATTGTGGCCACCAAGCCGCCATTTATTCGCAGTCGCTATAGTTTGCGCTGGCGAAAGACAACCACCGTGGTTCCGGAGGCAGCCGTTAATATAGTCACCACCACCGATCATCCCAACTTGGCCACCTCCACCGCCAATGCGGACTACGATTATTATGGGAATGGTGAGGCCGAAAATGTCGTGCACAAGTAATACCTACATATAAATAAAGAAGTTTGAATTTAACCATCAATTAATCATCAAGGTATACAAATCTGCAAAAAAACATGAGATTTCCAATAAAATATATTTTATAATTAAATAAAAAAAGCGTTGACTTTAAAAAAACAATTTAATTGAAAGTTTCCGAAATATAACAAGAGGGAAGCTCGACTATCAGATACCCGTTACTCAGATGGACTGCTTGAATTCCATTATTCTATTATTTGCTCATAACTTTTAAATGAATGCTCCGATTTGAAAAATTTCTTCTACATTTCGATAGGTAATTTTCCAAAATCTTTAAAGATTTAAATACCGCTTTTACTGATTTTTAAATTACGCGCTCAAAGTCTCGGAGCTTTGAGATGTAATGTAAAAATGGTGTAAATTATATATATAGTATATCCATAAGACAAATTTGTATTTCTCGGGAGGAGATTTATTTTGGCCAAAGCTTTAAGCACTCCTTGCATAGAAATGTAATATATAAATGCATTTCCATTTTGATTAAATTTGAATTGATAAGATAAGATTACAAGACAAAACCAATAAATGCTCAGTTTTTTGCTGAAAATTTAGCTAATTGGTCGCAAAAATGAGCACTACCCCAATATTAAAACTCAACCACTTTTGCATGTACGAGATATTTCGGCAGATCAAAATTGAATGCGAAAACAGAAGTGTCCCTGTGAATTATTGGGCTCTGATATATTTTGTGATCAGCTGCGAGAGATTTGTCAAGGCTTTTGAGGAGTGTAACCCGGACCTTTTCAAGAAACTTCATATCGAATTTGCCTATCTCGAAAGAACTGTGTCGATTGATATAAAATTGCAAAAGATTTACGACTTGTTGGCAAAGTTTTCCAAAAAGGACAAGGAATCCTATTGGAAATGTTATGTGGATGCAATCAAGGAGCATCGACGACTGGAGTTTGTGGTATTATATTACAAACGAACGCAACATTATCCCGATCATTTAGATAGGATTCAGGCCCTGATGAATGCCATTGACCACAATAAAGGCCTGCAATTCCTGGAAATAAATATTGAAGGTAAGTTTGGTGTTATAAATATTTTTAATTTACTTTAATCTTAGGGTTCCGACCTTACAGGCTATAGCTTCCAAAATGTTCCACAGTTCGGCCAATTAGTTTACCTCAATCTAAATATTCGAATGGATGCCGAAGATTTGGTGCAGCTGTGCCGTTCAAATCCGAATTTGGAAAATATCAGCTTCATGAGTACCCAATTATATGGAAGGTTTTCGGATATTGTGCCGTACTGCAACCAACTGCGAGCTCTGGAACTAAAAATGAAGATAGATGCCGCGGAATATGCTCCTTTGGCGAAATTGCCAAGACTTAAAAAACTGATACTTAGAGGTAGCCATCGAGAGGGAACTCTTGTAAAGTTGTTTCAAACTTTCGAAGGAAAGATCCTTCAGAACTTGGAAATTTCGGATACTTTTCTCAGTGAGCAAGAGACGTTGGCGATATCGAAAATAAGTAGTTTATCCAACATTTCGAGTGGTTTTAGGGATCAACAGAGCATTGAGAACTTGGCCTTTTCGCGGAGTCTCAAATTGGTAAAAATATATGTTCAATCCGGTCAACACATTTTATTAGGTCAGCTGATTGACTTGATAAAGAAGTCTGCACTAGTTCTACTCCAAAAAGACAGCCCCTCCTTAAAGATCGAATTTGACGAGGAACCAGAAATATTGAAAGTGACCTTTTTTCACACAGACGAAGATGTGGATTTTAAGTACTATCTTCCTAACGACGATGAAAATGACGTTGAGGGCGATGAAGAACGGGTTTACTACGATCTTCTAATTCATCATCTTCTTAAGCATCACCTATTTTATAATGGAACCTATTTTAATGAAGAAGAGGAGGATGAGGAATATGTCCCTTGCGATATCACTAATCACATAACCTGCATTCTCGAGCTTCTAAATATCGTTCAGTTCTTTATTTCCGGACCCTTTAGTACCGACATGTTGCAAACCATCTTTCGGAAATTGGAAAGCACACAGTCACAGACTCTTAAAAAGATAGTAATCAGTGAATGTTCCTCATTAAGCCAAGATAATGCCAATACACTTGCATCATGCCTATCCTTAAGCACTATTGTTAACGCCGACGATAATTTGAATAAAATAATCACAGTTAAAGAGCAATCTTAGGAAAAATTAAAGTACTACAAAATATACCAATCCTTAGTCATAATTTAATATTTATGTTATTAAGTGTTTGGTGTTAGATTTTTAATAGCTCGGCTATATTTATGGACTTTTGTGTAGTTTTAAACTAGAATTAGTTGCTTTCTTTAATTTGACCACGTAATATTGATTCAAGAATGTTAATCAATAGAACTTCATTACTTTTTTGAATTACATTTTTGTAGCATTATATTTGGGGACTTTAATGCAATATATTTTCAGTAGGATGAAAGTATTCCTATGTCAATGGAAAGTGATTTCATTAGCATTACTTTTATCATAATATTTAAAAAACAGTGCTAATCCTTATAGACACAACAAACTACTAGTTTATCTACCATTCTTTTTGATTTTAAATTGAAATTTAACGGTTTTAGTGGTGTTAAAACAAGTTGGCATCCCGGCAAAACAAAACTCGATAGGTCCAATCGATACAAATCAGCTGTTCCTCGCCGACTACAACAACAATAAACAACAAACGAGTTTTAAAAAATGTTATTAACAATTAAATGCGCTCAGAATGTGATTAAGCCGAACTTTCCGAAAGTGGCCAATCTGCTCGCCAGTCGCTGTAAATCTGGTTTATCCGACGGCCCGGCAACAACGAGTGGCAGGTGGGTGGGAGGGAAAAGGGGGGTAAAAAAACCGAACGAACTCAAAAACTGAGCTTTATTTTCTTTGCGCGCAGCTCACAAATCTCAGTTCTGTATTCGCCAGCAGCGAGAGAAGCAGCAAAGGCAGCAACTGGTGGCAGTGCAAATCTCCGGCGATTCTACGGCACCCAAAACTCAGAGGCCCCAGCAGCCAAAACCCAAACTACAACGAAAAAGCGCAAAATGGTGGTAAGTACTGGCGAAAAAGGTGATTTTCAGATCAAGGGCAAGCGAATTCAAGTGAAATCGAGAGGTTTTCTAATCACCTCGAATCAGAAACGAGCCCCCAAGGCCGAGTTTTGACTTTAAGCAAGTGATTTATACCCTAATTCTAAGGAGTATGATGAGTTTGGGGAAGATTCCGCATCTCTATACCATATATTCCCTATAAATGTAAAGGAATTTGTAAAATTACACTTAAAATTCTCTATAACAAAGTTTCCCTATAATGAGAACCAGTTTTACTGGAATTTGGGATACAAAACATGGAATTTTGGCAAGATTTCACCTTTCTATACCTTATAACAATATAGAATATAGATATATTCCTAATAAATGTAAAAATGTAGAACAAGTTTTACTGGAATTTAGGATACAAAGAACACGCCTATTCACTTGTAAAACTAAAATTCCATCGAGCCGGTTCATTTCTGTGCTGAAATAAAGTGATAACCCTTTCAACTTTGCTCTACTATTTCCCAAACATCTAATTGCATATCCTGAACTATAAATCTACTTGAAAATTTAAAGAAATTTAAGTATAATAGAACAATTTTGAAGGATTAGAAGCCCATTTCATTCTTAGCATCGCTCGTACCTTCACTTATATACTTCTTACTCTTTTCCAGGTGCGACTAAACGAACAGGAGCGTGCTGAGAAGCTGCAGCCCCTCCTGGAGGCCGGCTGGACCTTGGTGGAGGGTCGCGATGCCATCTTCAAGCAGTTCGTCCTGAAGGACTTCAACCAGGCCTTCAGCTTCATGACGGGCGTGGCCCTGCTGGCCGAGAAGATCAACCACCACCCGGAGTGGTTCAACTGCTACAACAAGGTGGACGTGACCCTGTCCACGCACGACGTGGGTGGCCTCAGTTCGCAGGACATTCGCATGGCCAATCACTTGGAAGCCACGGCCAGTTTGTTGAAATAAACACATTGTTATATATTCTAGTTGCTAGTTGTCTATATTCTCTGAAGTCTCAGCTCAGCATTGATTTGCTGAATATTTGATAGTCGGCTTGCTCCAGGACATCAGGGGAGATCTCGTCCTTGAGGTAGCCCAGTTGCTTGAAGAAGCTAAGAGAGGCTTCATTGTTGTTCAGCACCGTCAGCATGATCTTCTCCAGGTGCCAAAGGCGGGCGCAGTCTTCCAAAATGCTCATGATGAACTTTCCCAGGCCTTTTCTGCGGTGCTCCTCGGCCACCTGCATTTCGTAGCTGCAAGAGAGGGTTTTCAGGCATTAGCCATGTATCTTGGGATGCAATATATGCTATAGTATACTTACCAATAGAGAACACAATCCCCGTGATCCATATCGAAGCGAAACATGGCATAGGCCACCGGCTCCTTCTTCTCATTCTGGGCCACCAAATAGCGAGCCCAGTTCTTGTTGAGCTCGGCCTGTTTGATCTTCGGCTGCCAGCCCATCTTCAGTTGTTTGTAGAAGGGGCCCACGTTCGTTTCGGCCAGTTTAAATGCCCATTTCAGCAGTTTGGCATCCGCATCCGTCTTCGTTCGGCATATCAGTTTGAATTCCTCTCCGCCGGGCGCCTTGTAGCTTTGGTAGTTGAGAGATTCCAGTGGATTCTTGGCTCTGGCAGCGGTCTCCACAAATTTCTGCTTCGCTCCCTGACTTAACACGTCTTGATTCGGCATTTTTCGGTTAAAATCTTAGGAAAATAAATAATACCCAAAAAAAAGCGCGCAAATTAGAGATGGCGCGCAAAAAATATCAATATCGATACTTGCATAAAAATAAATATCTATATCGCGATATTTTCCCCGATAACTATCGGCAACAGAGTTGCCATCTCGATTTCTAGGGCGCAACAGAGTTGCCATCTCGATTTCAGGGCGCAACAGCGTTGCCACCTTGGCACACTTTTTAAGCCCTCATCCCTAGTTCCAAAAGCTACCGCCAGGTGCGCGGCTGCGGAATGTTACTGCATCCCTGGTTTTACAGTTATTCCCGCCATCGTTTTTTTTTTCATTGGAATTTCACATTTTGCATGAAAATTACGGAGTTTTCGCTTTTTTAAAATTACGCAATGTCGGAGAAAGAAGAGGAATCGATTGAATATCTGACGGAAAAGGGGATTTTCCCCCGTCTGCTGGAGATTTTGAAGCAATTGGTGGAAATCGATCCTCTGCCAGCGGATCCACTGATGTACATTTTGCATTTACTCGGCTGTCCGCTGATTCCGCAGGTTAGCAATACTGGATTTTTACTTAAATTACTTACAAAATCATATATGTTTGGGTTTATTTTCGTTGTGCAGGCCCAAATGAAGGCCCTGGAGCGAAAAGTGTCGCGGGCCCACGATGAATTGCGCTATTTGCGACGCTTATTAATCGATTTGGATGGCGAAGATCAGCTCTACGACAGCGAAAGCGACGTGGGTGAATATGTGGGCGATGTGGAGGACACCAGTTCGTCGGCCCAGGAGATTTCCCTGGTGGAGAGCCTCGAGTCGCAGTCGCTGTCCCAAGAAGACTCCGCCACACAAGCCGAGTTCGTAGTCTCCTCTTCCAAGGATTCGGATTCCTCGCATCATTAGATCCGGTATCTCAGATCCTATATCGTCATCACATTCATTATAACGTACTTATCTTTGCATATCAACTGCATGTGAGTCTCCCGGTTTGTTTGCCCCCATATTACATTTTGTTCAATGCATTGTGAGATCTACTATCGACTTTTATCAAATAAACTTGTTACATTGTAACCTGTAGGGGAATTACCTCTACCATTATTCTATTAAATATTGTTTTTCGGCTTGAAATCTAATTTTGTATATTAATTTACGATTTTTTTTGGTATACATTCTACCATTTTGATGAAAGTAAGATATAATAAGGATTATAACAGCTAAAATAATATTTTAAATATTTTCTAAAATCCATTTTTTAATCAAGTTAAATATTTTTGTTCCGCATGAAATCTAAGATATTGATTTTTTATATTAAGGAAAATTGTTTCAACTATTACAATTTATTTGATATACCTGGTTCCATTTAGAGTTAGGATCAAAACAGCTGAGAGAATATTTTAAACGTTTTCTTAAAACCAGGGACCGTAAATAATCATTATTTGAGATTTTTATTTTAAAAGGCCTACTGAGGTTTTTACAAGTTTTAATCAACAATTTTACTGGTTTTTATGCACTTTATAGACATGGACAAATAACAGTTAATTTGCTTTCCAGATTTGTTGAAATGCATATGCTTTGTGGACAAGAGTAAAAAGAGTGTTATTTTTGACGTTTAAAACATAATATCACAGTAGTCTTTTTAAAATAAAAATCTCAAATAATGATTATTTACGGTCCCTGCTTAAAACCATTTTTTGAGAAAGTTAAGATACGATCCCTATTCCTTCCCCCTTACCCTTCAAAAAGGTTGATTCAAACACTGCCTGAGCTCTCGAGTCCTGTTTTTCACCCATTTCGAGTTGATTGCCATTAAACCCCGCTACCTGGGGGAAATCAATAACTAATATATGGCTACATGTTTGCCGGCGATGTCTAGAGCCAAACAAAACAACAATTCAATTAACTTCAACATGGTGAGATGTGTAGCTGCAGTTTGGGTGTACGAAATGGGGAAAATTTCATTTGCTACCAACGCCATAGATTCTGCAACTACAGTTGAGAATGGTGGCATGGGTGTTAATTCATCATTATCGAGCTGTGGATAAGCTGCTGCTAATTAAGTCAGGCCCCCCAGTAAAGTGCACTGAATTCATTTTTGTATTTGACAGCCGAGCTGTGATGAAATACATTTAAAATAACAAAAATTACACAGAATAAATTAAAGGTGCGTATTTAATTAACTTCAGCGTTAAGAAGATCTGAAATATATATCTAGAATATTCAGTTTTATATATATATATATATATTTATTTCCGTTTCACATTTTACCTTATGATATTATAATAAACAAAGCAACTGCTTGCGCTGCTTGAATTTCATTATTTGCTTTGCTCATAACTTTTTAATGAATGGTTCGATTTGTAAGATTTCTTCTGCATTTTGATAGATATTAATAAGAACAACCAAATTGCATGTACACTTTTTCGAAATCTTTAAAATACACCCTTTTAATCTACGAGTACCGGGTATTAAAAACTAGTGGAACTGAGAAAAATATTAAAAACAAATAACTTAAAACTATCAAAAAATTAATGTGTCATGATAGTTTAATTAGTTTTACTGTTGTAAAATATTTTTCACCTGTGAAAGTCATGATTTTTATTTTCATGACAGGGCCAATAATGCTTTTTGCACACTTGCATATTGAATGCACCTTTTCTTGCTTTAAATTTAACACGCATGCAAATGCAACTGGCTGAAAAAGCAGCCGGCCAAATGATTTACACCGTATATTTGTCACAGTGCGATAAATCCATCTAATCCCCCGACATCTGCATGTCCGGCTTGACAAATAAACTGCAGCAGGGCTTACATAAATATTTCTCCCGAAAAGAAAACATATTTTACCACATAAAATAAACATGAACTTTTAAAGGGGGCGGAAATAGGGCGTGGCTGGGCAGCAGCTGCTTTTAATTGCTTTTGCTGGTTTTTCAAACGTTTTTGCAACTTTTTAGTTGACATTGAATAATCGCTGCGGAAATTGTCGCTTAACGGCAAATTGTGGTAGAAGCGAAGTGGACTCAACTTGATAATTGATTGGAGCTCTTTAAAATTGTTTGTTTGACCGCTGCTGCTGCTGCAGGCCATTCTAGTTCTTTTTTTCGCCCATTTAATCCGTGCACGCGTGCCGACTGCAAAGTGGCCAAACGGCCTGGTCTACTCATTTTGCACCCATTACTCGTAGAATAAGAGGGTATATTGTATTCGTGCAAAAGCATGTAACGCTGAGATCTCGGAATTTGCATTAAGCATGCAGTTGCCCCTCTAACGCCCACAATCGCTTTCAACGATTTTTAAATGTGACTGGCGCCCACATCTTTAAATATTTTGGAAAATTATAAATTCAATTTGGTTGTGCCTTTTAACACCTATCGAAATGTAGAATAGGGGAGAGTGGGGGAATTTCGTCACAGGGGCAATTTCGTCACCTGCAATATCTCGGAATCCATAAGTCGTAAAAATATATAATTTTTTTGTTTTAGTCCTTCAAGACGGCCAGACACAACCAATGCATTTGTTTTGCACAGAAGGCCAAGATAATTAAGCTATAATATTAAATGTGTTTTAACAGTTCAAAAGCTACATTTAGTTCTCGACGAAATTTTTTCTGTATGCCACAATTCAAAAGGAATAAGATACACGATTTTTTATATAATACACAGTGCTATAATGTGCATTTCTGCGTCAGTGATTTTTAACTTCGCGCCTAATTTCGCAAGAAAAATAATTATTTCTAAAAAAGTACGGTCTGGGGAAATTTCGCCACCCTACGCTAAGGGTAAATTCGCACCTATTTTAAATACATATTTTTATATTTGACGAGCTGGCTAACGAACAGACTACCAGCAGCAGCAACAAATATAGGACGTCAACAAAAATGGTACGCTTGATCAGTGTAGCATATTTTCAGGCGTTAAACTCCCTACATTTTTCAGGTGACGAAATTTCCCCAGTTGTGTGGTGATTTTACCCCCCTGTGTGGTGAGATTGCCCCAGTATATTGGTTTTACATTTTATTTTTTTATAAATCACCAAGCTAATTAAAAAAATAGGGGAATGTCACATTTTAAAGCTTGGTGCTAACCGCATTCAACAATAAAAATAGAAATATGATAACGTGTCTCAAGATGGACAAAAAATAGCTTTGAAAAAATGCTGACGAAATTCCCCCACTCTCCCCTACATTTTTAAAATCGGAACATTCATTAAAAGTTTGCTGCTAGCTTATCTTCAACTCCCTCGCGTTTCCATTAGCTGAGTAAGGGGTATCTGATAGTCGAGGTACTCAACTCTCTTGTTTTTATCCCAAAATCTGCTTTGCATGTCAGTTGGCCCGGGAACGTACAACTTTGACCGCGTGAAATACGAGACCCCTCGGGCACTCTCAGCCGCAGGCAAAACCGACGAAAAACAAACCAAGGAAGGAACCAAATGAAGTGTAGTCGAATTGGAAATGAACTATGATCAGTAATAGTTACTTCAAATGCTTAAGAATATAATTATAAAATATAATTCTAAACAATAATAAATTTTCTTTATTTTTTAAAATTATATTTCCATCGTTAAATTTTATTTCTGTGCCTTAAAAGATAATATTTTCTATAGATTCTTTGCAGAATAAATTTTATTTTAATTTTGAATTTACCTTTCTATTTTTTTTGTAAACCTCTTTAAAATCTGAACTGCAGTGCATATTCTAGACTGTCGTCGAGAATATTTACTCTCCTCCTGGGCAGTCAACGAAATAATCTTGAAATAAAACAGCTTTGCATATCATCAGGAAATGAATTTAACTATCCCCTCTTCACCCAACTCTTATCAGAAATTAATTGTTCAGCAAAATGTGTACAACCTGAATACACCTTTAACTATATGTATTCCGCAAAAATATTAATATTTATTAATGCTTCTGCTCTGATATTTCAGTGGGGACTGCATTTGCAATCAGATTGAACGGATCCCACCGAAAATGGATGAATTTCCAGAAGGAGAAGGGGAAATGGAAAATGGGAAAGGGTGGAGGAGTGCCGCTTCAATTTCATGTCGAGTAAATTTTAATTTACTGCTCTTTTGTGACCGCATGCGAGCCAACAAAACTTTGGGTTACTGGGTTCCCTTTTTTTTTTGGATTTTTGTGTGAGTTTTGTTTGGCTTGTTGGTCAAATGATATATCTGGGTTGGTTGGTCCATTCGGCCCGAGGGCAAGTGTGGAATTTTTAAAGCCAGCGAACCGCCGAGCTGCCATTAGTTTTAATGACCGCAAAAGGCAAAGCGGCGAAAAAAAGTGCTCGAAAAACAAAACAGAGGGCGAAATAAAAATTTCAGCCATTGCTGGCAGGCTAATTGAAGTCTGTCTGAGTGGGCGGTGGGTTGTCTAGGGCTGAGTGGGGGCGTGGCAAATCTCAAAACTATGCTTCATTAGCCAAGCTGCAAACTCTATTTGCCTAATGGGGCACAGCCCACCAGAAAATGAAGACAAAATGAAGAAATTTCTGCCATAAAACGTGCTTAGCCTGGGGAATGAACCTTTGCCGAAAAAAAGAAATTTAAAATATATCCTACGCCGACAATTGAAAATTCCAAACACAACAATTAAAAAGCAATTAACTATGCAAATTTCAGCGTTGTTAATGAGCCGGAAAGTGTACGTATATCTTGGGGTTTTTCCTCTTTAAGAAGGAAGTATCATCTGACCCAAATACATCAATGTCTGGGAAATGTTTTGGCCAAATGCCTCACTCACACACACACGCTCACGTCCGAAAACATTTTATCATTTCCTGTCATTTTTCATGCCACGAAAAAAAGGGTTAAACCATTTTTATGTGTCAACAAGAATAATTTCTGTCACTAACACAAAATACAAAGCGAAGCGACTTGGCTCAAATTCCCCAAAAGGAGAAAAGTCGCTACACACAGAAAAAAAGAAGCACGTCGCCGTAAAATCAATATGACCATGTAAATTTCTGGTTATGGTTTTTAAATACTCATAAAATGTATATAAAGTAA